AGCAGAGCATATTTCCGGCAGATCTGGAGGAGGCAGCTGGGCGACAGTGTCGCCGGTCGGCATCATGGTCACATACTCGTCAGAGGGACCCGATGTAGCATGAACCAAGATTGTGCAAGGCGAGTAGTGTTCACAGACAATGTCCTCCACGCACGTGTTGGTCTTCCAGCAACATTCAGCATTGGCACATGCATCTTCGCACAAGAGTACTTGATCGATCGAATCAATAGTTGCAGGGTCACATACATCTTGCAGATTGACTGGGGCAAAGGGAATCACAAGAGTAACGTTTGAGCTGTTGGCGGAAACTGTCAAGTTTGCCAAGCCGTCGTCGTCGAGGGTATGGGGTGGCATCATCTTGGGCATCTCTTCATAACTGCTTCCTTCAGGCCACATCATGACCAGCAGAGCCAGGAGCAGGGGAGTAGAGGAAGAGCCACCTGTTCGATGCATCTTTGAAGCTAACATACATAAATAGGAATGGATTCTTTCGATTGGAGAGTGCTACCGGTATCGGTACTGGAACCGTAACATCACGTTCATTGATCAATCCACCGAAAGAAAAAAAAATCAAAATTTCAGTCTTAGATTTCAGGTAGGTGTGGTAAAGCCATCTACGTTACCGGAACCATTTATTATTATCTTCGTTTTGATATCTTTACCGAAACTACCCTTCCATGATTTTGTCGTCGTGTCGCTCGTCGTGTTCTGTTGTGTCAGCTTTACTTTTTTCTGAAGGTGAAATAATGTAAATCCACGAATCGAATCGAATGATTATTTGAATCGAATCGAATGATTCGATTCAATCCACTTTCAACGTGTTCTGCGCGCGTTCTGGAGTTTCGGAGATTAATCATTAGGAGAAACTGAACTAATAAGCCTCAACACCCAACACGAACCCCGGGAACTTCTAGCCTTCCACATGCATGCTTGCTTGCATGCCTGGCACGAAACGAACAAAAGAGAAGGGTGAGTAGGCGCGCTTCGTTAGTGACTAATCAATCCCGGATATGACTTACCACTGCTCTCTCATCATGCGACTGGAAGGAGTAGCCCCTCTGTCAATCTCCACGGGATCGTGATCCAACTGCCAGGCAAGTTCTGCATGAACATGATGATTGCCCAGTTACTGCTGTGTCCCTCCATCCTTGCCAATCCTTGGTGTCTGGTTCACATTCACTCAAGCAATGCAGCACCGCACCGATGGATCAATCTGTTGGTTATTTCGCTCGTATCATGGTCGCATGTAGTTTGCTATTGGTAGTAATTGCAGCACTTTTGCCTGAAATGGCGGTCTATTTTGATGAACTGGAGTGTCTTTCTCGTTGCTTCTGGTAGACTACCCACTGCATCCGAATTCAAACTGAGCTATGCGCTAGTTTTGCCAGAGAAGGGTCCCTTCCTGCTCTATTGCGCCGTCTTTTGAACTGATATTTGGTTTGGATGATGCCAAAATTTGGCAATCTTAAGGTGGATGCGCCAGGCTCTTGAGTGAGTTGGCCATTCACGGAAACGGGCTCCTGGGAGCTTTAGGCGCTCCAAGCAATGGAAGATTCTAGAACAATGATCGACTTTTGGAATTTTGCAAATTTCTTTTGTTGGAGTTGTTCAAGAACGTTCATCTCTCGACTCCAACAAATCGCTATATCTGAATGCTTTTTGAAGGACATGTGGGCAATGCAACATTTGTACACGACAAACAAGGACCATGGCAGACAATCGGCCACCCCATTACGTAGGGGGATTCTCTTGGAACGGCAGGTATCCACTCGGTCAATCGAATGGTGCTACGGGGACTGTAATCCCTACTACCAGCAGCTACGTTGCCGATGCAAGAGGAACGATAAACTCAACCTTCAACGAAGCATACACCCAATTAGAACTTATTCATGGTGGTTTCTATGGGCCATACAAACTGATTCTTTCCGGCGGCCCATGCTGGTTAGGGGGAAAGAAAGTCGAAAAGCAGTCCCGTACTCGCGCAAATCGGTACAAATGCTCGGTTGAAGGATGTCCCTGGAGAGCTCAAATACGTGAAATGAAGTCTCATGATATGTCCTATGACAGCGTCTTTGTCATTTATGTCACGTCTTCTAGCCAGCACAACCATCCAGTTTCGAAGCAACCACCGCACCACAAAGATCAGTACGGATTGCCGCCCATATTGAAGGAATTGGCGAATTCTTACATTACTGATCAGTGGAAACAATCTCGGAGAACGACATTGGAGATGTCGCCAAGTGAAATCGTCAAGTTTTTGGTTTCTAACATCTACAAGGAACATCCGGCTTACCAGCATCTAGTGGATACGGCAACCAAGAGATATCATCTCGGCAATCAGATCACAAACTTTCTTCGTGTTGTTAAAAGAAACTATATTAAGCGCGCGATTGGTGTTGAGCGGATCATGGACAACGATGCACTATCTCGTGTACTCTCCCTGTACCGATTTGTGGTCCCGTTGGGTTACAGTCCACGTTGTGATTATTCTTCGGCTGACCAGCTAAGTGAAGCTCTCCGTGTTCCTGGACCAGAGTCGGGGCATATGTTTCTCTTCAATCTTTCTGAAGGGCCCCTACACAACCTCTATAAGCAGCGAATTGTTGGTTCCAATGAAAAGGCTCTCGAGTTATTCGAGAAACGGGTTGAGCAATGCTTCTTTGCTGTCTCGGTTTCTACTTTATGGCAACTCATGCATTTTACACTGCGACGAGATGGAACGAAACAAGTCTGCTCTGATGGCACGGGTGGCATCAGTCAAGACTTAGCGCCGACTATTATCTGTGGCGGATTGTCTCAAAAGTTCCGTGATGACCAAGGAAAGGTGACATCGTCCCTGAGACCATTTACGTTCATGAAGGGATCTGAAGCAATCCATCCTTATTTGTTGCACTTGTACTATATTCGAAGCCTTTGTTGGACATTGTTTGGAACTCGTTTCACTATCGACTGCGGTACTTCCGATCACTCCCCCGCTTTTGTTACGTCACATCGCCACTTCAGACTTTGGCCAGACGTCTTGGATGCCTCATGGGATGGTACACGTGTTACTCGGTATGAATCCGACACTATTTCTTCATCGAAACACCTTGCTTCAAGATCAAGCAACCAAACGATTAACAATCGGACGATTATTTCCACTGTGAGCGAACTTTCCACCCAAGACGTAACAGCTAACGTTCCTGTTGTCATCACCCAGTTAAGTCAAGACGATTGTTATCCCGTGCCAATGAACGCGCCATCTATATCAAATGATAAGCAAGAGCACAAACCTTTGACGAAATCGAAAAAGGAGAAGCTTGTTTCAATAGAAATGATCACAGAAACGTATCCTATATTTCACTTTGCAAATCAAGACAAGAACACAAGTCTTGCGGACGTGCTTCGGGATCCCTCTTTGTTGTATCAACCAACACATGGAGTTACACTTTGCTACTTCCATGTCGTGCAACACTTCCGCCAGAACAACAGCTTTGTTCGGTTGTTCAAAGATCGACAGTTTGCCTCGCAAGACGACCCAAGTCTGAAGAAACGCAGCAAAAAGAAAGCGAATTCTTTGCTGTACTCAGCGACTACGGTTTATCCTCGAGCATATCATATGGTGCAATGGATTCATCGATGCCGAACTGAAGAACAAAAGACTGCTGTAACATATCTTGTCTTGATGGATTGGATCTGCCGTGGTGAGGTTGCATCAGCCGATTTGTTCTACCGATCCTATTGTGCCGCCCCATTCAATTGCTGGAGTTATGCTACCACAAACGAGCAAATGATCTACCCTAGTAATTGCGCCATGGAAAGCAACATGCACCACGGCATCAAAAAGGGTGCTCAGTTCCAAATTCGCGCAAACGTCTCCACAGAGGGATATGTCATCGAGACGTTGCCAAAGATGCTTTCAAACTGCGAAAGTGGAGCAAGGGATCCCTGTACAATGGAATACCCACGCGACGTTTCGAGATTGATGGTAGCCGTAACGGCATTCTTCGATCCAGCGGTGGACCTATTTGAATGTTCCACGGCCGATGAAGGAATTTATTGGTTGGCAAACATTGGCCGGATGATTGGCGTTCCCCTTACAAGAACCCGTCGCAAGGACCGTCAGATGGCATTAGAAGGAAACACAATTCATTTCATTGGTACGGAAGACCCCACAACAAACTTTCCCTGGTACGCAAAGACTGCAAAGCGACTAGTCAACGCAACAAGGTTCCTTTGTTGTCTGGTTCGGAAAGACGGAAATATTGTAGGTGATTGCATTGACTGCTGGAAGCACTGTGGTTACGGTTGCCCTGGTGCAGCGTATCTACGTAGCAAGTACAGTCTACTTGACGGCTCACTTGTAAACAAGAGAAAGGTAAAAAGCAACTCTCGCGGAATGAAAGCAAAGGCAATCGCACGTGGATCGAAACACGAAATGTATATAAGTGGTAGGGCTACTGTTCTTGGAAAGAGACGAAAGGCTCCGGAAATGCTCAAGTCGGACAAGGATTTCCTTCTGTCGTTGAGCTACCCCATGCTACGTGAAACAACAAACTACCTTGGATTGCTTTGCGATTGCACTGAAAATGGGAAGGCATCGCAAAGCAAAATGATTTCTGTCTTGGTAGAAGAATTCTATGATGACCCAGTTGCGTACAGGACAAAAAATGCGAAAGAAGACAACGTATTGGTGGATGCTGATCAGCTGGACGATCTATCGGAAGCATCTTTCAACGTAGTGGAAGCAATGGATTCCTTTCCTGACGACGAAGACGATGGCTTTTTAGACAAATTCAATAACGATACTATGTAATAGCTAGGTCTAACGATTATGCAAACCAACTGAGTATCATTATAGTGCTACGTAGCTTGTCATTTCGTATTTCATGACTCAATCTTTCGGCAAAATATCGAACTTCGAAACTTCGGATGGAAAATGCTAGGAACATTCCAATGCGCTGTATTACGGGACGAAATGGAGGGAGTAGCAATATTTCATTAGATGCATTTGTTCTTCTCAGGCAAAAAAGTTCCGATAGCATACTTTGGGTGCGTTGCAATGACAAGTCTCCGCGTTTTGGCTATCACCAAAAAAGCTGTGGAGGAGTAGAGGAAATGCAGCGGCAGCGACTGGGAGCTCATAGTTTTCGAGTTCATCTTCTGTGATCTTGATCCATCAAACAACAAAGTCCGTCGAACGTACAACGTCCTTAACAAACCAACACCACATTTCAACCATGATGCGCGCTCCCCGTTTCGAAGATTGGATGAGGAACCAAGCTGAGTATCGAGCGATTCGAGAACGTGAAAACGAGCTTATCCGATTGGAAGAGGAGGCGGCTGCTGAAGCAGTAATTAATAGGAAGGATGATCTGAGCTGGCAGGCAGGAGAAAGGTCCCTTTGGAGCCACGTGAAGATGCTCCAAAAGTTTGAGTGGTTCCTTAGGAATGTCCGTGGAGTGCCCCAGGAGAAGTTGGAATGGTTGTGTGACGATTTTGAAGACATGACTCCGCGTCATCTCTTTAACTTTTTCTTGAAGGGTCCCGGTCTGGTTCGCTATGGTGGCTACCCCTTTCCCCTAACCGAGGAGCAGTGGACTTCGGAGGACTGTACGTGTCTTTGTGGTTGGTTGTTGTGTGTGCCGCCGTGTTGAGTTACCCACTCCCTTTGTTGTCTTGCATAGGTGCGCCGCGTTGGAAAGATCCCGTTAGTGGGTGCAAGACTTTGAGCAACAAGGTCGCAATGGAGTTTATGTTCAACAAGATCATTAACGACAAGCCCTTGATGATTGATTTCTGCGTTGCAAATGCCAGAACTGGTGGCAAGTGGCAGTTCTGGCCGTTGGTTGATCGTTACATGAATTGCTTTGGTGTCAACGCCATGATGGAGTCGAGTGGAGACACTTTCGAAGAATTCAACGCGAGGAACTACAGGGGGTTTCAAGACTCGCCACCAAGCGATTATGAGCTTTCTGGTACGGTGCAAGACCTATCCCGCGAAAATGTCACGATGGAACGTGCTTCGGTTGTCGCGTCGGTCCCTGTCGCGGTGGCCCCAGTCGCGGTGGCCCCTGCCCCGGTTGTCGCTTCGGTCCCTCTCGCGGCAGTCCCTGAAGAGACGATCTTTGTCACGTCGGTCGCAGTGGCTTCGATCCCTGGAAACGACAGCCTCGGCAACCTCGAGAACAAAGGAAGCGATAGTGTTGGCAACCAAGGACTCGAAACGCAACCACGCACAACGGGCAATGTTGTTAATGGCGACGATGACATTGCACTCGAAAACGTTCGTGCTACCTTGGTTGAGCAGTTTGATGCGGTGGGAGATGCCGGGAAGGAAAAGGGTACCAGGAAGAGGAAGAGAAAGAACAATAAGAGGAAGAGAAGCAACGCAGTGACTGATAGTATGGAAGAAGACGAACGTAAACCGGCAGCCAAGAAAGACAAGAAAAGCAAGAGTGTTACTGGCAAGAAGTGAGATACACCCACGAACTGAATATCCATGTTCAGATTTCTACGCAGCTCTGCCGATTTGAGTGACGCCGACGGCACACAGCGAATAAAGAGTGACAACTATGGACCATGCCGCCTTTGAGGAACGTTCTGCCCACTCTCAGCGCTTCTGTTAACTTTAGACTGCTATTATGTTGTCATCAGTGCTCTAGGTCGGCCCATGATCGCTGCTGGTGGTTGCGGCTGTGTTAAGAACGCCGGAGAGAGGGAGAAATTGCTTTGGTAGCCGTTGATCATGAAAGCACCTATCCGCCGATCGCTCCGACGATTGCGATCTGTCTTCGAATGCGCAGTTTCGTTCGTAGTGGCGATTGTCGTTGGCCATGGCGTCGTCTGATGATGAGTCGAGCGCCCTAAGCCGTCCTGGCGAAGAGCTGGAGCAGACAGAAGAAGAGGTAGAGTTGATGGACGATCAACCCAATGAACCGCCGGAACACCCCGATGTCTTCGACGTCTATTGCGAAGAGGACGCAGATCATTGGCTCAGCGAAGACCACTTGTATGAGCTGCAGATGGCACAAGACAAAGCAATGAAAGCTCCCCCTCCTCTCAACACATGGAAGGAGAACGATCCGTGGAACGGTGTCGAAGTGACAGTGGCAAAAGCTCGGCGCTTGGCTTGGGAGCAGGGCATTGCTGAGATTAATCTCCACCGCAAGAACGCCGGAGACTTGCCTGGCCCTGAGGGAGCAAGCCATGTGCACCGTGTGTATCTTCACTTGTTTGGGTCGGAAAGCAAGCTCGGCAGATACTTCCGGGACGTTCTGGAAATTTGCAAGGAAGAGTATCTCCTTTTCATGATCTCCTATTTCAAGTCCTGTCGCTATCGAATGACAGTCGTCAATCTACACAATGCCGATGATGATTTCAAGAACCTCATGTCCGCAAAAGATTACAATGGCCTCTGGCGAAAGATTGCCAACCTACGCCGCCACGCTCATGGTGAATCCTTTTGGCAAGGCATCGAGGGCATTATGAACAACAATTTCAAAGAACTCTTCATGTCGGCTCAGCACGACAACGAGATTTTCGATTACGTTGTTAGCCTGGATGATGACAAGCTCCATCTCAACCACACAAGCAGCACCGACCACGATGGGCTCAAGAAAGATCATCACGCCAAAGACAACAGACGTGGATACACTGCCCACACAGCATGCCATGCTTCAACTGCAGCGCCTCTGAATGTGTCATTCCAACGCCAGAATGAGACCGTTCGTGTTACTACAAATCGAATGTTAGACATAATGTTTGGAATACATGTCGGCAGAACCGAGAGACTTGACAATGTTGACCTGGCAATGGACCGAGGATACTGGGACGCGGGTCTCTTGTTTCGGCTCTTGGATCAAGGAGCAAACGTTCATGGCACTGTGAAGAGAATGGATTGGGTGCCATTGACCTTCGACAAGAAATCACCCAAAGAGTTCCCTGAAAAGCCAAAAGATGTCCTCAAGCAAGGCTTCAAAGACTGCTACTACATGCACACCAAATGGAAAGGAAAGACGGTGACCCGCAAGCTTGCTTGTGTTGCCTACAGAAGCGGAACTGGAACTGCAGTCTCCATTGCAGTCTCATCACGCTTTCGCAAGCCGCATTGGGATCTCGTGCCCCTCAATCCAGCAGACCGGTGGTATCATGATAAGACTCTGTCTGAGCGTGATCGGCAAAAGAAAGCTATGGTGTTGTTTGCTGGCGACGACCCTGACGAGAAATGCATTGACTTGATGTTGGAAGCAATGGAGCCACGCACTTGTGGGCAAGGAACAGCGGATTGGTTCCTCGACAGACAGCTCTCTGGAACGTCCAGTACAATGTCGGAGCTCATCATTGCCGTGGCACCACTCATTGCTAGCGACCACCCATTCAGTGACGACTTCGACAGAGTGTTGAAGTATGCTGGCCATGGTGAGCTTCTTGGAGCCTCAACTGCAGCCGAGGAAGACGACGCTGACGACGAAGAAATCAACGAAGATAATGAAAGTGTGGGCAGCCAGGAAGATGCGCAAACAGAGCAAAAGAAGCAAGCTCAAGATTGGATTGACACTCTTACGAACCCAAGTGTCGACATGGACCAGGAATTCCAGTGCGAAGGCATCGAAGCCGAAGTGTTGTCTTGGATGCTTGCTCTACTGAAGAAGAAAGATTACAAGCTGATGACTAAGGCGCAAGCAATGAAGAAGTTGAAAGACGGGTTCTTCGAGCACCCAAAGGCGCGACGAGCCTACATGATGCTAGCTGTCGCGGATCTGAAGCAGATTGCCAAGGAAAAGAACGTCAAAGTGTCAGGCAAGAAGAGCGACATCATCGACTCCCTGCTTGATCCAGCCGCTGCAGCTGCCGATGAGCCAGCAAAGAAGAAACGGAGGGCTATCCAAATGACTGAAATAGAACCAGAGCTCCGTCCTTACGTCGCGTTGTTCAAGCAAGCATACCTTCGCCCACAAGCGAAAGCTCCGCGTGCTGCTGCAGCAGTTGGCCATCGCAATGAAGAGCCCTTCCTGAAAGCGTTCTTTGATGAGTGTAAGAAAGAAGCTACCGATGACCCGCATGCGCACTCGTTCACGGCCTTGGACCCAACGGCAATCTACAGGCTCGGTCTGATGCGCAAGAAGACTGCAAGCAAGTTTGTTAAGGCGAGCTTGGATGCTGCTACTTTCATCAACAACGAGATTGGCGACGTTGAGCTCATTCCAACCGAAGTGAAGAGCAGGGTTTCGGCAGCGACGATGGCAGAAGCAAACGAGCGCATTGAAGAGCTTGTGGGTATGGAGGCATACAATCCAAGACGCAAGTTTCTCGTCAAGGCAGGATCCGAAACAGAGCTCTTGCGTCTTCTCGTTCGCGACGCCAGCAACCCAAAGAGGGAGAAGAGTGAGGCAATCCAGTTGCTCCACGGTGCATTTGTTGCTGGAACAGAACGAGGGTTGCTTCTTGTTGGATCAAAGGACAGCCTCTTGTACGGAATCGATGTTACTTTCGAGGAGTCGCTGCTGGACTCATATGCCAACGTTGTGCATCACATCTACCAGGAGTATTTCAAGTGTTTCTACGAGTCTTCTATCGACGACTTGAGGAACAACGACAACATCTCCAAGGCGATTGATTACATCGATTACTTAGACGAGCATTCCTTTTGGACGAATTACACTCTCTGGAGAGCTCTCAATGTGGACGTGAATCCCTCCAACGTTTGGTTTCCACTGCCTCCAATCGCACGGACCCTACCATTCCAGAACGCCAATTGGAATTCTCTGAAGGGGCCCTCTGACACAACAACAAAGCTGCTGGACAATGTAGAGGAGCAGATTGGAGTCCGCACTCCTCGAAACATTGCCACGGGTCGTCTTTGTTCGCTTGGTGCGGTTGCCTTCCATCGTTCGATACAGATACTGTCGGCCAAAGAACCAGAGAAATACCCAACGCTTTATGACTATCGGCATGCTGCCAACAACCGCTACACGATGGGCTCGAGCGTTGCCAAACTCCTTGAGTTCATGACAGATGAGCTGGAGATGTTGCGTCCTCCAGAACAGGTTGTTGCTGTGTCACCTCTGACTGCGGCCAACGACCGCATCCAACAACTGCTGAACACTCCGCCAAGACGACAAACGAGAGCTTCTGGCAACGAGCCAGAGAAAGTCGAATGGGGATTCAATTTGAAGACGGGGTACACACCGCGTCGTGGCCGTACGGTCGGAGAGTCTCACTTGCTTCGAGAGCAGCGATGTGACGGAAGAGTCCTCGTATACGTTGAGGCAGCTCATGATGCCACAGTAAAGAAGGATGTTCGGCAACGCTGTCGCCTTTGTGGCACACGCACTGCTTTCTACTGCACCGGTTGCAAGAACTATTTCTGCTTTGGCGCGCAAGGGTTGACGAATAAGCGTGTCAAAGATATCGAAAAGAAGAGCCATGACGACCACTTTGTCAAGCCGAAGCTACAGCTTCAGATGAGCGTCTACGATCCAACAATCGAAGAGGTAAAGAGCGCCTACGTGAGCAACAGCTGTTATTTGGTTCACCACAAGACAGCCTTTGATGACTTCTGGAAAGAGAAGCACGGAGAAGAAGAAGCCGACATTGATGAAGACGAGAGTACGGACGACGCCTAGTGTCGCCGTAGCTATTGTTGCCGTAGCTATTGTTGCCGGCGGCTGACAAGACGTATTGTTGCCATTCAAATAAATCTTATAGTTAGTTTATTCTTTGCTACACAAACTAGATAGAAGTGTTCTGTCAATACCGACAAACTAGGTGTGGCCGTGCTCGCTCATCATGACTTCCCCACCAACACGAGAGCAACTGAATGCCAGGGATTCGCAGAAGAACATCGCAAGGCCGTTCTCTCCATCATAGGGCAAGGTAAGAACTATCTGACTGTAGCCTTCGGGATGGTCTGGTGGCAACTCGATCACTTGACAGATTGCCTTCAATCTAGAACGGGATGAGATGATCTTCTTTGGCTTGAGAGCCTTCCAGCATTGGTCAGGAGGAAGGCAGAGAGTGCATAAGTTGCGCTTTTCATTGGGTGGGTGGACACAGATGCGAAACAGAGACGTGTCACCAAACTGCTGCAAGCTGACGGGACCTTCGAGGTTCAAAGTGTTGCCGGGGGTCTTGACCTCGATGGTGGCAACGACGGCCGCCGTATCCCCTCTCTGGCTTTCACAGGCTGCTGCTAAGACGTTCCACGAGAACATCCTTGAGTAGATTGTGATGCTGAGTAGATTGTGGTCTCCGACTGCTGTGGTTGATTGTTGGGAGTGGCGCCAAATCGAGTAATTCAAACCATTCAAATCATTCAAACCATTCAAACCGTGGTTTTCAGGAGAAGAAGCAACTCCTATTCTGACCGAAGAGCATCACAACATGCCCCACTCTCTCACAAATCAGATCTCTCTCGTTTTTTTT